GCTCTCAGCAATTTATTTTTGTAGTACTGGAGACTGAACCTCAGACTTTTATGGTTTTTTTTTTTTTTTTTTTTTTTTTTCATGATAAAGTCTAGCTAAACTGCTAACTTGCCCAGGCTGGGCTTGAACATATGACCCTTCTGCCTCAGCCTCCCAGAATGCCGGCCTCCTAGGCCTGCATCACCCTGCACAGCTGGCCTATTTTTATCTGGGCACCTGCAGCCGCCCAGCCCTTTTCCCTCCAGCCCTGTGTGCCCCATTTTCCAGCCACCTTCCTCCAAGCCCAACATGGTTGGATTTTTCATGCCTCCTAAAAACCTCCTCAACCTGCCAAGAATCTATTTCATACCCTGCTCCTTCTGCCTGGAATGGCCCCAGTCCCACCCCACCTCCACCCCATGCAGAAGCCAACCCTACCCGTGGCGTCGGGAGCATCGGCGCATGCTGTCCCAGTCTAGCTCAAGTGTCTGTGCCCGGCAGGAGACGGGGCATCCATTCCCATGTGTCACTGTCCAGGGACTCGGGCTGTGAGGCATGGTGTCATGGTACCCACAGCACAGCCTGTAGATCATGGCTGGCTGGCTTCAAATCCCAGTGCTATGCCTTGGACATGTGACTTCTCTCCAGGCCCCTGGTGAGTTCCTGTTGGACAAATCCTTCCCAAGTACAAGCCTCAGTTTCCCCATCTGGGAAGAAAGGCTATTGAGGCCAACTCCAGTGTAAAGAATGAAAGGTCACTTTGGCTCCTGGATTCAGTCCCTGAACAGTGACTCCATGAGGGCTGCAGTGAGGCAGAAACCTCCTGTTGCAGCCAGGCGTGCTGGTGGGAGGCTGAGGCAGGAGGGTCTCGAGTTCAAGCCCAGTCCGGGCAACTCAGTGACTCAGAGAGACTCTGTCTCAAAATAAAAAATCAAATGAGGGCTGGGGGATAAAGCTCAGTGCAGAGGCCCTGGGTTCAGCTCCCAGGACCAGAGAAAGCAAAAGCGTGGCGGAAGGGCATGGCTTAAGGAGGCTGCTTCCATGAGAGCCAGCAGCTGGGGGGTAGAGAAGTGGGGGACCAGGTACAGCCCCCAAGCTCACACCCAGGTGCTCCCCAAGTAGGCGTCCCTTCTGTGTCCGTCACTGAGCAACGATGCCCTGGTGTATGCTGTTGGACATGTCCGTCCAGTATCTGAAGGTGGTAGCGAGAGACTGCAGCAGCCCCGAGATGTCTCACTCCTTCCCATCTACTTGGAGACTCAGCGCCCTGGACCTGACTGTCCAAAGCCACACAGCTTAAAGCCCGTTCACATAGCAGGATAGAAGATGGATTTGAAGCTTTGACTGTCAGAGCCAGCTACAGGATTTCTCCCCTGAGCTTGTACCCAAAAGAAAAAGAGCTGAGCAGAGAAATCTTGTATCATGGGTCCCTAACCACCAAGCCACATATCTGTTCCTGTACTGTTAGGAACCAGGTGGTGAGCAAAGGGCAGGTGGACCTTTGGATTCTCAGCTGCTGCTCATGGCTCACATCACTGCCCCAGCGCCTCCTGCTGTCAGTCAGCTGGGCTCTGGGAGCACAAACCCCACTGTGAAAGTACCTGCCAGGGATGTAGCTGCTACTCCTTCATCATGCTGAAGCCAAACACTGCCCTTCATCCCTCCCTCCATCATTAGGAAAAGGGCCTTCCATGAAACTGGTCCTGGTGCCAGAAAGGCTGGACACTGCTGCTTTATCACATACAGAATTTCAGCCTGGGACTGGTGGGCAGCGCTCTTACATGATTGCTGCAGCCACACCATCCTCCTCCTCCTCCTCCTCCTCCTCCTCCTTCCCCTCCTTTTCCTCTACTTCCCCTCCTTCTCCTCCTTCTCCTCCTCCTCCTTTTCCTCCTACTTCCCCTCCTTCTCCTCCTTCTCCTCCTCCTCCTCTTCCTCCTACTTCCCCTCCTTCTCCTCCTTCTCCTCCTTCTCCTCTTCCTCTTCCTCCTACTTCCCCTCCTTCTCCTCCTTCTCCTCCTCCTCCTCTTCCTCCTACTTCCCCTCCTTCTCCTCCTTCTCCTCTTCCTCTTCCTCCTACTTCCCCTCCTTCTCCTCCTTCCCCTCCTTCTCCTCCTCCTCTTCCTCCTTCTCCTCAATCCCCTCCTCCTTCTCCTCCTTCTCCTCCTTCTCCTCCTTCTCCTCCTTCTCCTCCTTCCCCTCCTTCTCCTCCTTCTCCTCTTTCTCTTCCTCCTACTTCCCCTCCTTCTCCTCTTCCTCCTCCTCTTCCTCCTCCTCTTCCTCCTCCTCTTCCTCTTTCTCTTTCCCCTCCTCCTTCTCCTCCTTCCTCTCCTCCTCCTCCTTCTCCTCCTTCCTCTCCTTCTCCTCCTCCTCCTTCTCCTCCTTCCTCTCCTTCTCCTCCTCCTCCTCCTTCTC